CGTAACGTACACAGCAGGCTCGCGGACATATGTTTGCCCTTATAGTCAGTAAGATCTCCACAACATCATATGGAAACGATATTAGCTTCCGCGCTGGTGTCACTGAGGATACGGCCGCCTCAGTGTGATCCCAGTATGTTGATGTTGCCCATGCTGAGGATCAGGTCAGTGGAGTGGAGGAGTGATGTATTGGTAATAGCTGTGCGTTGATAAAGTGTGTTTTAATAGCGAGAGCTTTTCCCCTGTGAGATCGCATTATGATGTTTTATGGATTTATACAATCCAAGAACTGTGTGAAATCAAACGCATTATTCCACATCTGTACCAAAGTCCTGTGTAAAATCCTGCTGTATTAGAAATTGATTTAGGAGTTTGTTTACCTTGAAACCAGAACAATCTGATGAGATAAAATCTATATAAATAGTCCTCACTCTCAAAACAGTTTGCGTTTACATGCATGTATTTTTTGCCTGTGCCACATTTTGAGATCAGCTTTTTTCAGTGAAAAAAAAGGATCGGTTCCCACTCAGCCAATAAGTAAAGATAACATATGGGGCCTTCCTTGGGGCCTGCTCCCAGAGGGAGATACATTGGAGGGACTATCTCAGCTGGCCGAGGAACGCCTCTGGATTCTTCCAGATGAGCTGAAGAGAGTGTGTGTGGAGAGGGAAGTCTGGGCATCTCTGCTCAGACTGCTGCGTTCGTAGCAGAATGGATTGAGCGGAAATAAATGGATAAATAGATGGATGTTTTCTAATAAGATATAATCTGGTTTGGGATGCAGTGGCTCAGTTGGTAAAGCATTGGCCTTTGAGCCTGAAGGTCGTGGGTTCGAGCCCACCACTAGACCTTCTCCACCGACTTTCACTTATGTCTGGTATCCTTGGGCAAGACACTTAACCCCCACTATGCCTGAGAAATGGATGCAAAGGGGAAGAAAATGGATGTATGGATGATAGTCTGGTTTCTTCACAAAATCTTATTTAAACAAGACCCCTTCTGTTGGGATAAAAAAACATGTATTTATATAAATGTAGCTTTAAGTGAAATGTCTGCATCAGCATCACATAGAGACTTCATTTGTGTTAACTGGTCAAATATAATCATTGTACTTGTTGTAGTCCAATGCTTTTACACATAGATTCTCAACACAAAGGTGAGTTTGTTCTGACACCCTTCCCTGCACAGATGAACACACATCACTTTCAAATGTCTCAGAGCAAGTTCAATCCTGCACCTTTTTATCTGCACACGAATCCCAGATCACAACCGTATATCTTACTCAGGAAATGCTCTGGCGCAACCTTTAAATGCTCCCTGCTTTGAAGTGGCAGGGTGAAGGAAACTGGAGAGCATAAGTGACTCCAGTTTAAACTTTAGCTTTTACACACTGTTGGCCACTTCACAGATCTGACCAGAGCAGCCTCAATGTCTCCATGTCTGAAAACGTGTATAAACTTTGTATAAACTCAGTAGACAAATAAATGCAGTGCTTTAGTTTTTGTGTCTTTTATGAGTTCAATCTGGCATTGTGTTGTGTGATGAAATGGAACATCTCTGAGTGGACATCCTAACACCTGTGCATTATTCTTTCAGTCTAATCAGCGTCTTGATCTGCCACACTGCTGAGGTGGTCTCTGCAAAGAATAAACACTCTCTGAAACCGATTTAGACAAATGTATGAATGATATCTTGTAGAGATGTATCTTTTGAGCCTATATCTTTTTCAGGTTTTAGGTTGAACAGTGAGGGCTCTCTTTTACCAGCTACAGTGCCCACATACATTTGGCTTTGTTCTGCTGCTTGTTCACTACTTGTTGTATAACATTTGCACCTGGTCATGCAGCTGTAAAATGGTTGTTAGTCTATAGTTTTCCAATGACCCTGCAAAAGCCCTGAAGCAAGTAACAAAGCCAGAGTCTATGGCTGACTCCTCTGCTATTTCAAAGTGACCGTAATACTCTCACTCATTCCTCACTTTAACCTCAGCGGCCCAACTGAGGTTAACTCAAACTTAATTCCCAAAGTAGGCGGAGTCAGATACATGGAGAAAATGAGGATGCTTATGCCAATTGTGTTGATCCATCAAAATATTGATGGATCTCTCCTTTACGCCATGGAGAGCGCCAAATAGGTAATGTCCACAAATGTCGTGACCCAAATTCTGTATGATTTTTATTCAACCCATTTGTGATCTTTGTTGAAATCACCAAAATGGTTTACCCTAAAGAACTCCTAAAAAAATCCTAAATAATGTTCACTTTCTCCAGTATCTACCAACAATGTTTTTGTTTATTTGTAATCAATACATGAGTAGATGCATTGCACAACGTGTGGTGAGTTTCGAAACATTTCCGATCGGCTCTTAGCACAGGCCATTGATATGACGCGAAAGCACCATAATGCATAAAGTGCTGTGATTAGAGTGTTTTTGCCCACATTCGTGCGCTCTTCCTGTGTGTTCTTGTGGCCTGGCGTTCCCCCTCGTTCACCTTGCTCATTGGAGCGTGGCTGCGGCGTCTGGGATGATGCTGCTCCGTCCACATCACAAATAGCAGGGTGACTCATTGGGTAGCCGGCCCAGACCAGCTCACACGAGGAGATGATTTTTCCGTTTGCCGTCCCTTTCTGCTTGCTACTTTTGATTAGTAAGCGATATGTAAGCAGGCGGTGTTTGCTTTCTGTAGTTGTAGCGCAGGCTGTCACCTAGGTGCTGTTGGGCCTCTTCATGTATGACTTTTCTGAACGCATTGTGACTTTCTGTAAACTGTAAACTGCGCAGTCATAAACCAGTGTTAAGTGCCCGAGAATTCATGACTACTTAACTTTTCCGAGCTAACATATACTTTTCAATTGCACTACTTTATTTTACAGCATTGTGGATAATGTTGCTACAGTACATGCTGTATGTGCAATACTTGGCTGCCTTCATGGTTTCAAGTGTGTGTGCCTGTTTAATTCATCACCATTAAAGTCTACTGTATCCTCGGTCGGTGAGTAGGTCATACCGATTGACAGTTTTCTGGAAAGATACTATGACAATTGTGGATATGGAGAATCTAAAGTGGTGTACGCTACCTGTGTGCTTTAACTGGCAGACAGCCACATTGATATAAAGTTTACTTTTCTGTGCTGTGGTCTTGTTCTGCTTCATAATATGTGGCCACTAATGGTTTCAGCGAGTACAGAAGAGGATGATACTGAGTAATTTTAAATCACACCTCTATTGAAGTTGTTGTAGGTCTAAAATCCTATAGCTCAGGAACTACCAGCTCGAGAGAGTAAAGAAAGCGATTCAAATAAACGTATATGATACATTTTATGAAGTCATTGCCAATAATTGATCACACCAACAAAGTTGTAGTTTGAGGTTTCCTTGAAATGTAGTATCTATAGTTTTACATACAGTGATGTACACCTACCTGATTCCCCTTTGCTCAAACAAACACACACACACACACACAGCACTCGCTGTTTACTCACTTCCTCTCCATCTGGTTGATCTATTATGGAATGTGCAGAAGGAAGTTTGCAATCTGGAGAACGTTTGGTGTCTTTTCAGGAAATGTTACACTTGCAATCGTTTTTATGTTTACAGACACGAAAAGCTGAGAATATATATTATGATTGTGATTCCATGCTACAATTGAGCTGCATATAGAAGAGCTCTGTGCTCTTAACCCAGGGAGGCATGTCCAAGTAAGCTTCCAACACACATGATTTAGATATTTCTTTGTTCAAGAGTTGTATAGTGAACCGTAAACATATCCAAACACATCGACAGAAATGTGTGCAAGCCTGCATGTGTCAGAGTGTGGCATGCACTGTCATGTGTCATGTACTGGGGAACACATAAAAGCTGCATGTGAGATACAAGTCATTTCTCCATCTTCAATTCCTGTAGATTTCAAAGCCTATTGGCCAAACTCCAGGAGGGTTTGTAGCCTTGGGCTGCTATTTATAAGTGTGAGTAAGCAGGCTGTCGGCACTCCTGTACATGTATCATGCATTTTTCCTTCTTCGTGGTTCTCTGACATAACCATGTGTGGGTTCGTCTGTGAGCAGCCTCAAAGCAGTGGACTGTGGCTGCCCAACATGGATGATTTCATTCAAAAAGCGGAAACTGTCCTTGTGGACGGATAAATATACCCATGCTGTGTCTGTGTGTCTCACAGTCGTCTAGTCCTGGTTTGTCAGTTCTCTAGTTCAGTCACATTTGCCACATGTGACCTTCTGTCATTTGATCTCCATTTTCCTCATGAGTTAACTGTGTCTAGATCATAACTTCTGCTGTTATTGTTAACATATAATTTATTTGGCTTTTGTGGTCCAACTTGCCACTATGGAAAGAGCAGGAGTAGTGCCATGCAGAACTGAGTGGGCACTTAGCATTAGAGGTTTTTATATAATACGTTCCATTCACCCTGCCCAACTCACAGACACATCTGAAGAAAATTAACACCTTAAAAGTCACAGTAACGTTATGGCTCAATGGTGTCGCAACAAATGCTTTATGTTTCACCAAACTGAATATCTCAGGTGTGGCAATTGGGCAGTTACAAAAAGTCAAAAGGTAGTTTTCTCAGAGGACTTTACACAACTGTTGAATTTGCCAAAACGGATCAGAGAATAAAACGGTTCAAACACAAGAAATGCAATGAAAAAAACATAAAAGGTTTAAGAATATCACCTTTCTACAACAAATATATTTTTTTTTTCAAACTAGTTTTCTGTCTTTTAATACCAACAAATTATTTCCAACATAATTTTAGTGGGTGCATTTGTATTGCAAGCTTGCAGAGTGTAAAGTTGTGTTTCCCTGTCTTCATGATTTAGATTTTTCACAGTAAAAATAATGAAATTCTACAAACCCAAAAGGACCCCATCTCATTCTGCTCATCACTAAGAGAATATTAACATTAACATTCATTTGAAGTGTGAAACAAAGTAGCTTGGCTTGTTAATAACCTGTTTCTTTTCCTTTCTGTAACCCGCTGTAGACTAAACTTCCGGTCCTTCTGCTCGGCCATTCCTCGGACCTCAGACCAGGGGAGTTTGTGGTGGCGATCGGCAGTCCTTTTTCCCTCCAGAACACGGTCACCACAGGAATCGTCAGCACCACGCAGCGAGGAGGCAGAGAACTGGGCCTTCGCAACTCAGATATGGACTATATCCAGACGGACGCCATCATCAATGTATGACACAACCACAATAAAAGCATCACACAGAGCACATTTACAACATTTCATTATCTGTATTTGTCCCATAGTACGGAAACTCTGGAGGGCCCCTGGTCAATCTGGTAAGAGCATGTTTCTGTGTGTTTTCCCTATGTCTTTTACAATATTTTAAGGGGATAAAGATAATGGTAAAAACACACACAAACACACCCACACACACACACCCACACACACACACACACACACACACACACACACACACAACAAATGCATCCCTCAAGTCTGGCCTAATGCTAATGCTAATACAGTGCATTGTGACACTTGAATAATAAAGTTCAATTCAACTTAAAATAAGAAACCTACATGATATAGACTTGGCTTGTTATCGTTTTGGGCGGCGCTGTGACCCTTCAAGGTCCTGGGTTCAATTTGCATGTTCTCCCTGTGTCTGCGTAAGTACAATAGGGGAGGGTGGAATGAGTGTGTGTTTGTGAGTGCGACTGTGGGTCTACAGATGGAAACGAGCTCCAAAGCTACAATCTGGTGTATTTACGGTTACTGCTGTTCGTTAATACACACTGCCCCATACAAATACAAATTATTATGACTTTATTATTATGGCTTACAGTAATATTCAAAATGGTCTGATGCTGTTTGGGGCTTTCTACAAGCTGTGAAACAATTATCGATATTATAACAAATATATCTCACTTAGCATGTACTGAATTTACCATATATTAGTGTCTGAATTATAGTAAATGGACTTTTGGACGATATTCCATGTTTCACCTGTATGCGACCTGCTCATTTTCAGTTTATTTTGTTATACATGTAGTTAATATTGCTTCTAAAAAAACGTCTATGCATCAACAATCATGAGTAATTGTAAACTTGATTATTCCTGACATCCCCATTTGCACATTTGAAGTTGGAAATATGGTAATGTGTTCCGGTCATGACTCTGCTGCTGTGCTCTCTCAGGACGGTGATGTAATCGGGATCAACACTTTGAAAGTCACTGCTGGCATCTCCTTCGCCATTCCCTCGGATAAGATTCGACAGTTTTTGGCAGAATCCTACGACAGACAGTCCAGAGGTATCGAGTCCTGCTGACAGAACACATTGGCACTTGCATCCTATCGTTCACTCAAAATGCTGGAAGCTCATTTTGCTTAATATCTGGAAGAGTTGGATCCAAGAATAATTGGCAAAGTACAGCATGCAACAGATTGGCACAGCTGGGGGTTTCTTCTCATTCTTTGATAGAATTGGGATAACTCTGTTCCCAACAGTACCTGGGTGAATTACCGCACAGCAGAGGTAATAAATAACTCTACAGTGGATGCCAGTTTAGAAAATAATTACAATTTGAATGTGATTCTTTTACTTATTTAGAAATCTACTGTGAACTCTTCCCTGTCTCAAAAATGCACACTTTATATTCAATTAATTAAGAACAAACTCAGGGATGTCAAACTCGTTTGACATTACTCTTATGTGTCATGAAATGTGTTTTAACCAAAACATGACCAATTATAAAGTTAAATATAAGTTAAACATATTGTTTTATATACTTCTAATGATGTGTTAGGTTAAACATTTCTGAATAAAAATAAATGCGGTTTATCGGAGAAAATAGGTGATATATGTCTTATTACATGGTAGTTCATCACCATCAATGCTGCAAATTAATATTGATAATTAAAAATTATGTTAGGGGCCACTAAAAATAGTCTTGAGGGGCGGATTTTGCCATGCCTGAACAAACAACCTCAAATATCACGAAAGAAAAATAAAACTTGAGCGTCCACACTTAATTGAAGTGCATAAGTTCCAGTTTAAGTGAATAGATTACAGTTTACTAATAAGTATGAATGCGCTTTTTTTTTTTACTGTAGAAATAAATATTATTGATTTATTTATTTTTTTCATTCCAGCAGAAATGTTACATTCATAAGTATTTACATTCCTTAGTTTACATGACCTTCTGTACATGTTGCCTACGAGGCTTACAGTACATACCCACACATGCAAATATCTAAGGACATAAATATACAATCAAGCAGCAGTATTTGACCTAGTCTCACCATGTGTGTATAATTACAATATCAATAGCCAAATAGCCAAATTCCAAGTGCATTTCTATTTACAATCTATCAGCTCAAAATGAAGTGGGACAGAAGTACAAACGACATCTGAATACTGCATGATTAAGAGGATAAAATCTATCTCTTTTATGTTCTTCTAATGATTTTCTTTGTGTGGATCTTTAGGAAGGACAGCTGCAAAGAAGAAGTACATTGGGGTGAGGATGATGACTCTTACACCAGCGTGAGTTGCTCTTCTTACATCCAGAAATGCTCTAAATCATGTTTCCACTCTGTCAGCCCAGTATTCAGTTGTGGCTTCTCTTCTTTCTTTTCAGTTTGGCTAAAGAGCTGAAAACCAGACACAAAGACTTCCCTGATATCACCTCTGGAGCATATGTTATGGAGGTTATAGCAAAGACACCGGCTGCAGTGTAAGTCTGACATTATGAGTTTCAATCTATACTCTAAAAGCTGGGGTACCTAACTTTGTTTTTTGCATGAATAATACGTTTTTTTAGAAAGTATTGTAAAAGTTAGACAAACCTACCACATTAGAACACACTGTCTTTATCTATTAAAACATATCTTTCCCATACTTCCTGTGAGTCACTGTTGGATGCTTTGGTCTGATTGGCTGAAGGAGTGAGATCTGCTCTTTGTCACTTTTCTGTCTGAAATAGCTGATCTCACTATTCGTTTTATCATTTGAAAACTGTTTATATAATTGTTCAGTCAGTCAGAGGGATTTGATTATATATAGTCATTCTTTGTGGTTTGAAAGTTAGGTAACCCTGCTTTAAAACATGTAAATGTCAATTCAGATTAAGATTAAGAGATCTTTTATTCATCCACAGTGGGAAATTTCAGTGTCGCATCACCAGTTTACAGAACAGTAGGAATGAGGAAAACACCGCACAAGATAAATGAACAATAACTCTACTACAATAAAGTAAAATTAAGAAACAAGTATAAAATCTCTAGCTTTAGTGTAATAAGCAGGAAGTATAAAGTCAGCTTTATTTGTTCAGTACATGTACAACAACAGTAGCTGCCCAAAGTGCTCCACATGCAAAACAGAAAAAAGAAAAAGTTCACAGATATTTGAACTCAGATATTGTTAAAAGCCAAAGCACAAAATTTGTCTTTAGACTAGATTTAAAAGTCTCAAATGAAGTCAACAATAAAGGCCCTTCTTCTCGAGGAAAGGCATTTTAATGTAAAGGCATTTTCCCAGGCCTGTCTGTGCTACCTGCTTGAGTTCCCAAAAAAAGCCCCCTTCTCTACATTCCCAATGCAAACATACACGGTATTTAAATTCCTCTCTGCTGCTCTCCACGGTGTCATATGTGCTCTGCTGCGACACCTACTCAGTTCTGCACAACTGTCTCGGTAGAACATAAATTTCATGGATCGTTTCGACATGCCTAGAGCGCCTAACTCCTCAAAATCACACCCCCCCCACCCACCACCACATCCCACTCCCATCATCTACCACAGCGACCCCAGCTCCAGCGGCGTGGGGCCCGCCAAGAGACGCTGAGCTAAGCTATTTCCTCCAAAAACCCATGGATGTGAGGATCCTACTAGCTGCATTCTGCTGTGGTTTTCCTGCCCTTTACTCTTTGAGCATGCTCAGATGGCCTTGTTACAGTGTACCTACTGTTTAGCTTTGCTCTTATTAACATTCCGTGGTTCGGTTTTTGAAGACTACATGTTATTATTTTTGTGTACAGTGAAAGGTTTTGGTGTATACTGTATATATATATATAAAATGTGATTAAACATGTAGTGTAATGTCATTGCACAGATTTTGGGGATGCATCTAAGTCAAAACAGATTGGTGTAAAAGAAGGTGTGGTGGCCATGTTTGCATGTGGCTGTAATTACCTAGAGAAGTGTGTTTGATTCGTCTGCTCATAAATGCTTTGGCCTGTGTGCAATTTCAACTTTACTACTTTGTTTTCTTTATGGTGGGTGCCTGTTTTTGCCCACTATGTTTTATAACTTCGCACTTTGCCCTGGCTGTGCTATGATTCCCCCATCATTGCAGCTTCATTAAAATGGTTTAGAATGTTTCACACATGCTAACGGCTAACCAACAGCTTTCTTTCACAAGCCAAAACATCTGTGAGAACCAGAGTGCAGTTAGCATGGGCCAGACTATGCACAGAAAATGAGACTGGGCAAAATGAGGAAAAAAAACATAATCCAACAGGTCCTAACAAATTTCAATTCATGATGCAGTCAGTAATTTTTTTGTAGATGCATTTTTTTAAATATTATGAGAAAACATCTCTAAACCCTAAAAGTAGTCAAGTTTTCATGTGTTTTCAAATAGTAATGGAATTGTCCAGATTCCTATAGTCTCCAAGGATGCGTTTACTCCCCTTCACCCTCTTCCTGTTTCTTGCGAGTGCACGCACCTGAGATATCGGATTTTCTAAAACCTAAAATGGCTGAACAGAAAATGTCAAAGAAAATAAAACGCTGGATGTTTGGTTTGGTGGAGAGGCGAGAGGTGGGAGGAGTGGTTTCGAGTTGGTGCTACGGCTAAGCTAACAAAATCGCTTACTGCTCCTTTAATGCCATTTAAAAAATACCGATAGAGACACATATAACCTGATCATTGATGTTTTAGGTTAAGTAAGATAACCATGGTTGTCTAAATCAACAATCGATGGGGGCTTTGGTTTGATTTAAAATAAAATATATAGTTGGAATGAGATTAAATGATGAAATAAAAATCTGAAACTTGTGATTAAATATTCCATGTTTTATTTTATGTATGTTTTACTCTTGCATCTGTGGCCATTTCAAATATTCTCAGACCAGTTCATGTTTGTTTTCTCTCTTTGCTGATGTAAGCCTGCACATTAGTTCATGCAATATGTTCTTCACTAATTATTGTTTCATCACAGCGGGGGACTTAAGGAGCATGATGTCATTATCTCAATCAATGGACAGAGGATCTCATCGGCCACGGACGTCAGCGCCGCCATTAAGACGGACAGCACACTCAAAGTGGTCGTTCGCCGTGGAAACGAAGATGCCATTCTCACGGTGGTCCCCATGGAGATTGACCCTTGACATTCCACATAAACTGGAGTTTTTGCCAATCACCAGTGGACCTTATAACTGGAGACGTTTGAGTTGTTTCCGAAAAGTCTGCCTCTCAGCAAATGCAACAGGCCAGTGGCAGCACATGAACTCTGGCCTTAAAGACACGACTGTGCAGATGCTTTTTCAGATTCAGATTCATTTCAGATTCATTTTATTTGCCATGTGCAGTATAAAAACCACATTGGAATACATTTGCAACAGCTGTACTGTAATTTTACATTTTTTCCCCATGTCTTAATACTTTGATCAATGTTACTGTTTGGTCAGTGTCTAAAAATGTTTTATCATATTGATGTGTTATACATATGTTGAGTTTGTTAAGTTTTGTCTAATATGAGTAGCTCACGCCTCCAACTGCAATGTTAAAAATGTTTCTAAATTGTTGGATTAAAGTAATTTGACACTTTTTTAAGTACTGTAGATTTAATTGTTGATTTTACAATGCATACACACTGATTACTCATAACTTGAACTTTGGATTCATTTTATTGCAAACATATGAACTTGGCTGTGGTCTGGTGGTTAGGATTGTTGGGGCAGAGACACTGATGCTGTGGCTCCAATCCAGTCAAAGGTTCTCTTATCTTATCTTAAAGGACATCACAGATATTCGTCCGAATTTGTATAATGTAGTTGCTACTGTAGAAGTGTCAAAATAAAGAGACACGTAGGAGTAGTTCTATTTGTAACAAGCGAGTTGGGCTTGAATTATAAAATTAATTGCGCAAAAGGCTCTAGGGCCCATAATACATGTTTAGGACCTAGTGGTAGGGTAGCGCAATACTGTTTTTCATCATTTCCAAGCCGCTACTGCTGCTGCCACCTCTTGGCTCTGCCCTGGCATTGCATGTGGTCTTATTATCTTAGACCAAGGATGTTGTTTTAATCTGAGTTAGTTTGTCTGTTATTTGGGTGGATTTTTGTCATTAAATTTCGGAATGTAACCGCGTTTCTTGACTGAGGTCTGCGCTTCACGAGTGCTATAGTTTAAATTGTGTCCAACTGGTGACAAGTTGAATTATCAGCCCCAATAATACAATGCATTCATAATTAGAGCAAACAAACAAAAACATGAAACTGTTTGGGTCGAAAAACCTGTCAAAAATACATAGAATTCTTCATTATTTAGTCAATAAGTATAATGCTTCCACGCCACAGACTATAGACTCACTCAAGTTACTCAAGGTACGCATTTGCAGTTCTTTGGCCAATGTCAGCGGTCCTTTACTGCCCTCTATCGTGTATTTTGATTTTAAACCCTTAACCAATCACAGCCAGTCTTACTCATCGACCTCGAAACAGAGTGTACGCTCATTGGCCAGTTTCTATTTCGAAGCACACGACTTGGGAACGAGGAGGGAGGGGACATTTTAATGGCCGCCACTACTACTGCTAAATACAAAAACTCTGGATTATGTTGTTTACAGAGATCTTGACTGAGCGGCTTCGGCGCAGTATTACACCTTGTAATCTCGGATCCAATATTATGAACTTAATCATCAGAAATATGACTCTATAGAGTTGTTTTTGGAGAACTAGACTGACTTTACCCGCTTGATCTGTGCGCGATTGGGAGCTCAGGCCTAGCCGGCTGGCTAAGGAACAAGCGGAACATCAGCTACACACCGGAGTTTGGAGGTATTATGTGTTTCTGTGTGCGCAGACACTATCCATTTACTTTATAGATGTACCTACTCACACGTGAGTTTAGCCAAATGCCACCAAGTTATGTTAACAATGTTAAAAATCTTAAACGCCACCGCAGTCATCAGAGCACAGATGGTATCAAAGCTAATGTTCATGGTGACTTCAAACTTAGTTGAGCTTCTACTGTGGAAACCAGCCGAAAGTCGCAACTCTACCCCGTGTAATTACTGTGTGGCCCTAAGCGTTCTTCAATTCATGATGAAGCTTGCATTTATTAAATGTATTAAATGGAATGGCATTTTTGATAAGAATGACTCAAAGAATATGTTGAATATGTTGAAGTAGCTTGTGCTATTGCACGTATGTGTCCCGTGCTACAGAGACAGAGTAGCACTAATACTCATATATATATATATAATCAGCAATCTTTAAAAAAAAAAAAAAACATGAGAAATGCATTTTGATGCGTATAAATTTACTTGTTTTCATTGCCAAAAAGGTAAACACGAACTTGTTTTCAGTTTTAACTGCTTCTTTAGGGTAGCACTAAAGCTGTAGAGAAGTTTGAAAATACTTTTTAATTCACTATTAGTATGAAATACTTTCATACATTCAATAAAAGTGTGCCCGGACTACCCCACTTTTAATCTTATTTACTTAATACTGTTTGCTGTTGTTTCTCATCACATGATTCTTTTTTGTAGGGAATATGTAACATAAGGAAAAAATGACATCCAGATTTGGTAAGACGTACAACCGCAAAGGAGGAGAGGCCAACTCCAGATTTGAAGAGGTTTTCTCTAACAGAAAGCCCACCTTATCCACCAAATGGGGAGATACCACATACAAAGCCCAGCTTGGGGCCAAAAGGCCGGTGTTGAAGGCTGATGTTTCTGAGATTTCAAAGAGGCCTAGACTGGAGGACAGTGACAGCGACCAGGACCCATTTGGGTTTGACAGTGACGATGAGTCAAAAACGGTCACTTCTCACATTAGCTTGGATGCTAATGTCGGTGCTGTGGAGGCTCTAAATCCACAAACACAGCAGAGCACTGTCATTCCATCTGTGATGACCTCCTCTTCATTGGTTTCTTCTTCAATCACAAGTGAGTACTCGGGCATTGTATCATTGTTTTCCATCTAGGTTTTTCTTTCCTTCCTCACCATCATTCACATTCCTATTTAAAATTAGATGTAATATGAATGATCTTCTGCATTTACAGACCAGACAAACCCTCAAGAGAAAGTGATTAAGGTTGTTGTTAAAAGTAACCAGCCATGGTACAAAACATCTGATGGAAGTCAGCAGCCCAGAACCACCTCTAGTTTTTCACATACGACCAATCAGAATTCACGGACACAGTCATTTATCTTCTCAAGAATCTCAAATGCATCTCTCTACGGCACACAGTCCACCAATGCTCCTGGAGGTAGCAGAGACATCCTCGCTCCTTCCACTTACAATGAACTGCCTCCAGACGAAATGATAGTCACTGAAACTGAAGTCACTGCAGAGCCTCCACCAGAACCGGTAGATCCTATTCCACCATCTCCATTCACCCTCAGGGCCTCAAACAGCAAGAAATACCAGAGGCCTAATCGGGCTAACAAAACCTCCTGTGAACTTGCTGAAAACAATAATAATGATGACCCTCATGAAACGACAAGCATACAAGATAAATCCCTCACTGTGCATCCCGCCAGTTCAAGTAGTACTGCTGCCAAGACCACGGCAGCAGCCAAGCCAGCAGCCAAGCCAGCGGCCCGGGGTGGTGGAAGGGTTAGGGACTACACTGTGCTGCACCCATCCTGTGTGTCAATCTGCAATGTCACGATTCAGGACTCTATAGAGCGTAGTGTAGAGGAACTGCTTGCCCCTGCTCCCTCTGCTGATCATGGAGTATCAGGGCACATGAAGAAAAAGACTGATGCTCCTCTACCTAAACATTCTCGGTAAAATATCTTTGCTTACGTTCATTCCTAATTATGGTTTTAACTTTTTTTTTAATGCCGAAATGTGTAAAATTGTATCTTGTATTTTAAGGTACAGGCTAACCCCAACAAAGCCCAAGAAAACTAAGGCTGAGAGCAAACTCGAGTTCTTTGGTTTTGAAGACAAGGAGGATCAGGGTGCTGCAGAGAGCTCTGAAAGTTCCATGGGAGGGAAAAGCAATTATAAGATCAAGTACTTTGGCTTTGACGACCTCAGTGAGAGTGACAGTGATGATGACTGCACCATTGCCAAAGAGAAGAAACACAAGAAGGCACTGGCAGCTTTGAGCTGTGGTGTGGACAGCCCCCAAACCAGCGACTCTCAGGACAGCCAGGCCAGCAGCAACACAGGTGAGATCGGCAACCCTTGTTTTTTTCAATATACAGGTAAAACTCTGGACTATTAGAATATTGTTCAAAAGTCCATTTTATTTCTGTAATGCAACGTATACTGTGAAACTAGTATGTGACAGTGAGATGCATCGAGCTGTTGTTTTGACAGCATGTTGATATAATGATATCATGATAATTTGCTCATGGCGTGTAAAATTCTGATTGGTCATAGTTGGTGCTATGTGAACTGGTGCAGCTATGACTGCCACCGTCCTGACCCAGAAATGGATTAAGGGGAAGAAAATGGATGGATGGCTTGTAAAAACATTCTTAGGAAATGTAATATTGTGGGAATGGACTGTAAGCCATGATCGTTAATGTTACAACAAACAAAGCTTGCAATATGTCACTTTACATGTAATGAGTCTATGTGTCATGTGAGTTTCACATTTTAAGTTGAATTACATACAAAAATAAAATGGGTTCTCAGGAATCTCTGGAAAGTATGTGTAGGTTCTTGTTAATACAATCCTGGTTTAACCCTTATCTTGTGTGTTTGACAGATGGATTTGATTTTTCGGATGACTCTAATCCCAGTGGCCCTGATGGACAAAAGACCCGATTGGGGAAGGCAAGTGACAAGACAAAAGACTTGGGAAGTACTAAAAAGATTTTTAGTGGACCAAAAAAGGTGATTTTGCTTTTTATAATTTAAAGCTTTACAGTGAAGGTTAAATGTAATTCCTAAAGCATTTTTCTTTTCCTAGTCACCCGCAAAAGCAGTGTATAACGCTCGTCACTGGAATCAGCCTGAGCCTGAAGAGTTGCCAGCACCTCCACTGTCACGATCTCAAACCGCTCCGGTGAGACCTGTTTGTGTTAGCTTTGTCACAGAATAGGTGTAATTCCTCATTCGTCCATGACTAAAAGCTAGGGCACACCAATCCACGTACTGCAGATCATCAGGACCGAGCAGGATGAGCTCTTTATGCATTTACTGTTGACTTGGTTACTGAAGTTTTCAAGTATTATAATTTTGTATTCACGCATACATGTTTTAGTCTTCATTTCATTATCATTATCATTAACAAGAAGTTAACAATTAATCAAATAGCTGTTGACTAATTGAAACAAATCTCTTTTTTTCAGTAATCACTTTGATTGTTTCAACTTTAAATGCAATTATCAGATTTAGGTTACTTTAGGCACCAATTACGTCCTCCAAATCAACCTGACTCTCGTGTGCCCTACACACCACAAACACAGGCAGAGAAGGCTCACACGTTGTGGCATGTGTACACACCAGCTGCTGTTGCTGTCCTTGTGAAATCTATAGAGAGGACAGTACAGAGGCCAGACGACTGCTATATACCAGCAAGTCAGATGTATGTGTTTGTCCTCATAGTCAAGATGTTGAGAATCACTGTCAAACCTGCCAGCGCTCCTTCTAATGTTTGTATACAAGTGCTGTGGGTGTGAGGAGCTGATCTAGTGTCAAAGACCCTCAGCATATCACCATCAAATGAAGTGTGCACTGGCTTCGACACCGTACATTCCATTGTCTTCATACAGCTGACGTCTGATTGGTGTGTCATTGCCTTAAGACACTCCTCTATCCTGGAACTTGAATAAGCGTTTACAAAACCGCAAAATCAAACTTTACTCAAAGTTTTTCCAACATGTTTTTGAGCACTGGTCACTTTGGGGCATAGTTACCAAACGTTTGCATGTGTGAAAAGTGATTAGGACCTTTTAACATTAACTGATTAATGACATGCATATAATAATAATCCACAAAAAATGCAGCCACTATTTTACTTACATCTGCAGTTTAGCATGCTGATTGATAAATATATAATTATTCTCATGTGTCTAATCTCCTTAAAAAATAAATGTGTAGACTTTGGCCCAAATCAATTTTACATTGATCAAAAACTTCATGTGGATAGTGATGCACGTAACATGTTTGTAGGCATGCATGGTTTAGAAAGAAGAGTCTGTTAAAACTTAACCTATAAAACCATCATGTGCTGACATATAAGTGTGTGTATGTATATGTGTGTTTATATAATATATATATATTAATGTTAATATATATACACATACACATACACACACGTATGTAGTATCAAGTTAGCATTGCTTTATCTGATCTCTGCTCTTTGCTCACAAAGTCATTGGTTTGATTTGTGACTTGACTGAGTCTTGTTCTACTCCTTCCTCCTCAGGCTATTTTATCAAGCAGCAGCAAAGACAGCAATTCTCATAAAGATGACGGCGTGTTCAAAGCTCCTCCACCACCGCCTAAAGTCATTAAGTCTGAGACCATGCCCACACGTCCCAACCAGGATATTGTCACTGCGCTTAAATGCAGGAAGGAGCACAAGGAGGTGAGTGTCTGTGAAGTGGACAAATGTCCAAGTGTTCACTGAAATGAGCATGATGCCATGTTTGTATTTATTTTTCTTTCACGTGAACCGCTCTACTGCTACTCAATACATACTTGCTCTCGAATAGTGAGTTTATGTGGGAGGAAAGATACCAGATAAATCTTCTAGTCCAATTAGGACTGGGCAACAGATATGCAAACCTGGGCACTGATAGCGGTTTGAAAACTCAGTTCTTTGGGGATAGGTGGTTGTGACAGTCTAATCAATGCATTGTGTAACAGCAAAAATACTATTAAGACGAGAAAAAAGCAATTCTTGTATTTGGACGTATATTTGCCATTGTCTCTTGCCGCATTGTGTTTATTGCAAAAAACATGGTGTTTTATTTTTATTCAATCACTTGTGTGGCTGCAACCTGGCTGAAATCAAATGCAAGTTACAGCAGAAATGATGCCTAATTACATTTGCCAGATGTGTACGTATACTTATTAGATTTCAACATTAGTGTAAGTAACGGGCTCTGACTGGGTTTACAGAGGTGTCTGCATTCTCTTGCCACATAAACGCTGTGTGTGTGTAGCCTTGATGGGCCTAAGGCCCATATGCTGTCCCACAATTGGCAGGGGGGGTTGGCACAGTCAGCCATTAGATGTAATGGAACCGTGAGCAATGCAGAGATTTGGAGTTTAGAGTCTTGCAAATGAGCTCTAATTAACCCAATTCTCCTTACTCCAGCTGTACACAGTGGTGCAGCATGTGAAGCACTTCAATGATGTCGTGGAGTTTGGAGAGAATCAAGAGTTCACAGATGACTTTGAGTACCTGGAGACGGGCCTGAAAAGTTCTCAGCCACTCAACACAAGATGCCTTAGGTGAGAACAATTTGTCTATTCTCCCTGCTACAAAGTACACACATTTTCAAATCCTTTTCCCAGAGCAGAAACACAAACTGTTTAAAATCATTTAAGCAAAAGCGTGTCTCCTTCAGAGAATTTCAGATTTGTTTGTAGTTGTTTAATGATATAACAAACATAAATTTCTTTGTGATTTTGTTTCCATTGTGTGGACACACAATAATGTCTAAACAAGTGTACTTGTGTGTGTAACTGTATATACTATACACACCAAATATTCTATTTGTTTCTCTAGTATTATTAGTCTGGCCGCACGATGTGCCATGCCCAGTTTCAGGATGCACCTGAGAGCCAGAGGAAAAGTGGCACATGTCTTCAAAATTCTCAGTGACGCTCCACAGCACCCAGTGAGTACTTTCATTATTATAAGTGATCTTTGTTGCCTTACTCCCAGTGCACTTTAATGAGAATATATTGGCACAGGATTTATTTTCTGAACATGTCTCTTCTCCCTCAGAATCTGGCACTCTGCACCGCCGCCCTCATGTACATTCTGAGCAGAGATCGTCTGAACATGGACTTGGACCGTGCGTGTTTGGAGCTCATGATCAAGCTGCTGGAGCAGGAGCAAGACTACTCTGCTCTGCAGGACCAACTGACGGCCAAAGAAGAAGACAAGGTCAAGGAGAAGATCCGAAAGCTCTGTGAGACTGTCCACAACAAACATCTGGACTTGGAGAACATCACGGTGCGTTACGTCAATAATATTATTTATATGATATCATGATCTGGAGATTGAATTCTCTGCTTTATTTTAGAATTTTAGAATTTTATTTTATAATCCTGGTCACTTCAAAACATCTAGGACCTCAAATAGGGCTGGGCGATAAAACGATAACGGCACGGTGGCTGAGTGGATAGCACTCTCGCCTCTCAGCAAGAAAGTCCTGGGTTTGAATCCCGGTCGGACCAGGGCCTTTCTGAGTGGAGTTTGCATGTTCTCCCCCTGTCTGCGTAGGTTTCCTCCGGGTACTCCGGTTTCCCCTAACACTAAAAATATGTCCAATAGTTCTATCATGCGCCTCCTGTACTGGCGACCCCGCTCCCATCTCTGTGTGGAGTGAGAGACAAATGCCCAAAAAAATTAACAATTGTAAACCGCTTTGAGACTCAGATCTGCAGTGAAAAGGCGGTATATAGCTAAAGATTACTTGCTACTTAAAGATAACAATATATATTGCGATAGACAAGTGTTCGATATCAATAGAAAATGGGGTCGATAGAATGTTCGATAGTTTTACTTCACTCACATTCTGGGAAAAGCAAAAACAAGAATGCGTACCATGCGTAGCGTCCATGGATCTATTATACTAGGATCTAAAGATCGTGTTTCAGTACCGTGTCAATAGTTATACATGTCCGTGCGAGGAATAGCATGTGCGGCGCGGGAGAGGCAGTGGGTACAGAGACTCCATGCATTCGGCAAAAGCAAGAGACTAAACCAGGACTAAACCAGGACTAAACCAGGACTAAACCAGGACTAAACCAGGACTAAACCAGGACTAAACCAGGACTAAACCAGGACTAAACCAGGACTAAACCAGGACTAAACCAGGACTAAACCAGGACTAAACCAGGACTAAACCAGGACTAAACCAGGACTAAACCAGGACTAACTATGGGGGAGACTTCTTGTGAACATTTGTCTGCAGCCTCATTCCCCCGTGACTGTAAACAAGGCTGCTAACATGTGTTAGCCGACACGACAAATGTATTTATTTAGGTTTAAAAAATAAATAAAAATAAACAATCAATATATATCGCTATCGACCGATATGAATTACTTTTATTGTGATATAGTTTTCAGCCATATCGCCCAGCCCTAACCTCAAATTGTTTGTCTAGGGCAAGACAGAAAGTGCTGCTCAAAGCAAACACTTCAAAATTAAACATAGGACCCAAGTCTTACCTGTGACACCCGAGTACTGACCCAAATGTGTTTCTGAACCGTGTCGTCCCATGTCAAAGTCCATCTTAGTAGACTTCGTAGACCCAAGTTTCTTATGTCCAAAAGTGGAGGCTGCTCTTTTTTTAATCACCACAGAGAGCCATGGGATGAGATATGTAGTGCATCTACGCTCAATGCAACAGGTATTGATTTATACAAATGACGACAATGCTTTTAAACTGGGCAATGTCATTCAGTCATCATCCGTGTAAGGATGATAGTAATCTCACAGCAGTAATAAAAGGGCACAAGCGCTGAATAGGGACATCAGGGAACGAATAGAAGAGATTTCCTTTTCTTATAATTGTTTTTTTACAATATGAAGGTTTTTGTACATGACCTTTATTTTCTGAAAACAAAATGGGTTGTTTTGGGTGTTTATCGTTTGGATCTAACCAAAGCTGGACCAAATATAAAGTTAAACACATTATTTACTTTTTTAAATATTTAACTTCTAATGATGTGTTGAAATAAATTTTGTTGTTTTCCTAAGAAAATAGATGTATAACATGCCTTACTAGCCCATAACCATCAATGCTTAAATTATTAATAATAATAATAATAATAATAATAGTAAATCATTTTAGGGGCCACTTAAAATTCACTTGTGCATGGATTTGACCCATGAGCCTGAGTTTGACATGTCTGTGTTGGACACTTAAAATGTTTTCTTTTATTTTCTTTTACTTTTTTATTTTACAACATTTTATTTGGAATTTTTCTCGTTAACAAAAGAAATTCACGTTGAAAAGGTCAATTTGATTTCAGCAACAGCCTTCTTACTGTATGTTGATTGATTGTGTTTTTCAGTCTGGTCACCTTGCCATGGAGACCCTGCTCTCTCTGACTTCTAAAAGAGCTGGCGACTGGTTCAAGGAGGAGCTCCGGCTGCTTGGAGGCCTGGACCACATTGTTGACAAAGGTAACGGTGTCTTTTTTTCTTCTTTGAAGCCAGTCAAAAGTCTGCTGTTGACTTTGAGGTTGTCCACCATCTGTGTAATTTTTGGGGTGTTTTTCGTTCTCCAGTCAAAGAATGCGTGCAGCACCTCAGCCACGAAGAGGACAAGGAGAATCTGGTGGCGTCGCTGTGGGGGGCGGAGAGGTGCCTGAGAGTACTCGAGAGTGTAAGTATGAAGTGTGTGCTCCCTGTGTCCCCCATCCCAAGAGAGACAGTCAAGGGCAGGAGAGAAAAAAGAAAATTACATGGCTATTATACGTATGCCCTTTCTTCACCTTTCTACGCTAACTTTTCAGGAACTGCCCTTTTTGAACTGTTATTGAATGACCACAGACTCCAATCACAACTTGTTCTTTTATTCTTCTTTGTACTTTTTCCTCTTTTATTGATTTATTCTTCTTTGATGCACTGCCAACAGGTCACGGTGCAGAACCCAGAGAATCAGGGATACTTGATTGCTTACAAAGACTCTCAACTCATCACCTCTGCTGCCCGGTAAGGATTTCAGATGTACTTTTAAAGTCTAGTTATTTTAACATGTTGCTTGTTCTGTCTCTACAGAGCACTGCGTCACTGTGAGGACATGATCCAGCGATACAGCAGAGCTCTGAACAACAGCTCTGTGTCCACCACTGAAGCCGCTCTGCCCCACTGCAGCTTCAGTAACGTGGGCAAGGCTGTGGAGGACTGTATGAGGGCTGTGATCGGTGTGCTGCTCAATCTCACACATGACAATGGTAGTCACCTCCATATTCATCTCACAGCACTTTACAAGCACATTGTGCTAAGTAACCTTTATTTACCACTAGTATTTTTGGGAAAGAATTGGAAGCCTCCTTTCAGTTTACTTTGTAATGTGGAATATTTTGGCATTAAATGTTTCCCCTCCATGGTCCAATGGACATTCTTAACATATTCTTTAGTAGAATTATTTGAAAGCAATATGTATAATTTATTACCCTCAATGAAGTGTGTATCTTACCAGTAATCAGTCTGGTACTGATCTTCTCTTGCGGGATTCTTCAGTGTAAAGAGAAAATCTCAGTACAAGTCTCAATACAATATGAAGAGTTTGTACAGCCATGTAAAACCTGGAAAAGCAATTAAATGATGAAAAATCCATTTTCCATGTTTTTGTAAATAGACGTCTATATTTAGATATAAATCCTGTGTGTTATTGCAGACTATTGAGTCACCTGGCAGTGGTGGTACATGTTACCTAAACCACATTAATAGTTACATATGACTTGAGCTGACTCGGAGCTAAAGTGAAAGAGACTAATGGTGCTTTCCTTGGCAGAGTGGGGAAGCACAAAGACAGGTGAGCAGGAGCTGTTGATAGTTACCGCTCTGAACTGTGTGCTGCGAGTCCCTCGCTTCATCCCTCCAGAGCAGCGCTTTGACATCAGAGTCCTGGTAAGTCTCCAGTAAAGAGAGGACAGTTACTATTCCGCACCATTGAGATCTGACAGATTTACCTTACTCACTTGTTCGTATGTATTGGTTTTGTTGCATACCAGGGTTTGGGGCTTCTCATTAATCTGGTGGAGTACAGCTCCAGAAACAGACACAGCCTGGTGGACATGGAGTACATTGTGGAAGACTCGTGTCTGGAGGACAGCCTGATACAGGCTGAAGAATCAGAAGCTGCTCTGGCTTCAGTGGAGGTTGAGCACAAGCCCTCGGCCACTGGCGCTTTGGCTGCTCTGGTCAAGGTACGATATGGACCTATCACAAATACTGGCAATGGTTGTTTTACAAATTAGATTGGAATGTGATTACACACAAACTTATTACAACAATGAATCTGACTTTATTCTCCAACATATTCCTGTATTTAACATGCATTTAAGGATGTTTTGTGTAAAGTAAGGTTTGATAGATTACTTGATTAGGTACAGTAGATTATGATCTATAGATTACGTAAATACCAAGATGATCAATGGCTGAAGCCCTAATCATGTGTAGGTCTACCATTGAAAAACTGTATGTGTTTTAGATTTGGTTTAGTGTCTCATTTTGCTCCTTGTTTTAGCTCTTTCTTGAAAGGGAGCGTGCAGCTATATTGGCAGAAGCTAAAACTGATGACATCATCACAGAGGCACCAAAGCCGGCGCAGGACCAGAGCGGACAGTGGCAGGAGACGTCAGGGGAGATCCAGTGGGTCGAGGCAGAGAAAACTGGTGACCAAACCACATCTACGGAGAGCGACAAGAAGGAGGAGGAGGATGAAGAGTTGGACCTCAATAAAGGTAAACAAGCATATCAGAGCATATAACTCTGCACCACGAGTCTTCAGCTCCAACAGTTTTATCACTTTCTCTTGTGTGCAGCTCTGCAGCATGCGGGCAAACATATGGAGGACAGCATCGTTGCCTCGTATACAGCTCTGCTTCTGGGCTGCTTGTGCCAAGGCAGCCAGGTAAGAGAATAACAGTTACAGCAGTATTTTTCATTTACAAAGATGTGGTTGAATAGTTTACCTTACATGTTTTTCAGGTCAATGTGACTACTGTGAGAGAGAATCTACCTAAAGGTGATTTCTCAATCATGACAGAAATGTTGAAGAAGTTCCTGAACTTCATGAACCTCACTGTGAGTACAAACTAAAACCACTTCTTTTACAATGAACCATTTAACTTTTTAATTCTACACAAGCCTCATTCATGGACCTTCAGAAACTGTTTTGTTGCTCTACAAAAATACATAATGTTTGTTTTGTAACAACTCAAAGCTCCTGTCCCCGTGGAGCTTGAAAAAGACTGAATTTCTTAAGTTTAATTATTTCCATGCAGATCAGATGATGTGATGTTTTGTATGGACCAATTAGAAAAATTGACATGCTACTATTTCTCAACTTATTTCTGTTGGCTTCTGGAGTTGGGAGCTCACAAGTGAAGTGAAGCATTTCCTCACGTTTGTGTTTGTATTTGATTCCACTTTGTATCTTCATAGTGTGCGGTGGGCACCACAGGACAGAAGTCCATCTCTCGAGTCATCGACTACCTGGAGCACTGTTAACAGTGGTACAGAACTCTGGTCCACATCAAAGGCAGGGCGTCCTTACAGACTGGAGCCACAGGGGGCACTGCAGGCTCACAGCTGATCACCTGGAGCTGTGCTCTCTCTCTGGACTCCCTAGGCCTTCTGCTCACACACACCTCAATCTCACAGTGTCTCTGGGCGCAGCGTGAACCAAAGCCCTTGGAACATGTAGGGTTCGAGATCACTCACCTGTGACCCTCAGACAGTCCACTGCTCCTCAGGTACCAGGGAGGAGGCGCACAGCCTTTGTTCTCACACAACTTTGAGCTGAATTGGCTCCAGACCACATTCTGAAATGTCCTAAAGCAATGCTCTGTGCCGTGGCTCTTCTCCTGCAACAACCAGCTCGCAGCCACCATCCCATAATGGAAACATTGCATTTTAACATGTTCATTTACATTGACTCACTCCACTGGGAGACCATGGATCAGCATTGGGAAACCTTTTCATGGTCTTAACATGGTGTGAAATTATCTGAATGCATACAACCATTGTTTCTCTGTTCGTTGGAGAGATGAATGTTAAGGGATGGGGCAGAGGTTAAACACGTTGATCTTTGTTTTTCCCACTTTGTTGTGAAAATCTTAACATTTGCGTTGCTTTTTCTTCTTAAAGGGGCATTTTCCCTTGATCATGATGATTATTTTTTTCCTTTTTATTTATAATTTTTATTTTGTTAATTATGAATTGGCAAAGATTGACAATTTCATTTTAATTCAATTAAGGTTTTTTGTTACAAAATATGAGCTGTGCTTTTTAAACACCAATTAAGTTAAACATATTTAATTAGATGTTCTTGTCCATTGGGGTATGGTTTATGATTTTGATTTTAAAGCTTTGATGTATAGGCTCTGTGCACAGCAGTGGTCTAGCTTGTGCAGTGTTAGCTCTGTGTGAGAATCAGGACTAGTTTTTAAACCCAATAATTAAACATCACACAAGGGACAGCGAGTTGTGGGCGGTTAGACCGGACACAGTTGTGAAACTTTACAAATGAGGGGAAAAAGTAATTTGTGTCTCTTTGAAAGCCGAAGTAATTCACACATAAAACAACTGTGTACCTATACTTCATATTTTTATGATTTAATAAAATGCAGGAAGGAAGTACTGGTGCTAACCGTGAGCTAGCAGGGTTAGCTTGGTCACTCCTGTGCACAGTAGTGGAGAGCAATACATCTTTATAAGCAGTGTCATTTGTCACCCAGATTAGTTTGTTCAACGTGTGTCGTTTTTAGCTTGTTCATTTGAAGCATTTCATGACTGGAAAATTTGACATAATTTATTCCTGTGTGTCATTAGAAGCTCCCCCGAGAGGCCTCTGTCTTGTGCTTTGTGATGACTGAATGACAGACAGCCATAGCCGTATTTATCTGGTCCGGAGGGCTGCGGTGAACTCCAAGTTTACTGTATACTTTGCAAAATTATTATTTGAATGGAATTTTAATCTTGTAAATACTTCTGTACATAATGCTTAAAGGACATTCAAATGCTTAGACTACTTTTTCTCCCGAAGCTGATATTTTTATTTTATACTATACAATGCTATTTCTGAGTTTGGAAAAATCGCAGGAAGAATATAAACCATGTTTGTACCTGTTTTGAGGACACTGTATTTGGTTACTTGTAAAAAGTTGTATCTCAAACTAAAAGTTGCTACTTTCATACACTCTCCTTGTGTGTTTATTTTCCACTTCTATTGTTTGAACAGTGGTGACTTTCATTTTCAGTTGAATTGAATGAATTGAGGGGTAAGGGTGGTAAACGGCAACAAGGCGTTCAGCTTCTTCTTGCTTTTTTCTGTTTGGTATTCATTGCAGCTTGGTGAATTTGTATTCGCCGCGGTGGCCGTTACATACAAGGCTACAAGTTGAAAATGTGCGTGCCACCTTCATTTCTTTTTCTATCCCTGACAAACCGTCTGAGACAGTGTTTGTCCAGTGCTGCCCGTATACTTAGCGGCACTCAGCACTGACAGCTCACGGATGTGGCTTGACTGACTTGTGCATAATAGAAACAAAAGATTCCCCTGGCTGGCAGTGTAGGGAGTTGAATTTACAAATCGCTTACTGTGCTCTGGGGAAAATATGTGTGACGATCTTGATTTTCATGCCGCTGTGTCAGCCTTGATACGACAAACAAAAGGAGAAAGTCTTGTTTTCCAACTGAGTTCAGCATGGCAGGTGTAACGAGTTTGCGAATAGTGATCATAGTCAAATATCACATGTAAACTATCCAATTTCACTGGCAAAGAAAAAAGCGTGTACCAATGCAAAAATATGGTGATTTGAGGTGTTGCAGCATATGGTTGTCACCAACTCTGCACTGTTTGCAATAAAAGCCTTTGGGCCAAAACATCCACTTGTATTTCTTGCTTAGAGTAAAGTCTTGGGCAATATACAATCATGACCATGCATTTTCTGTGTGGAATAAACAAGAGAAGAAGGTCCTTTATTCGTCCCACAATGGGGAAATTTCAGTTTGATGCATACATTTATATATACACATGCACATCAAGGCAAGCAGCGAACTTCTGCGCACCTTATAGGCAAAATTATCAAATGAATTGTTAATTTCAGCGTCAAAACTACCACATATCTTTTTTTAAATGGTGCATTTAGATCAGGGGCGACAGTAGCTGGTAGAGCATTGGCCTTAAGCCCAGAAGGTCGTGGGTTCAATTCCCACCTCTGCACCTTCTCCACTGACTCCCACTGATGACTGCTGTCGTTGTGTCCTTGGGCAAGACACTTAACCCCACTTTGCCCAAAGCCCCCACTGAAAGATCAAGGCTATGCTCACACTCAGAGCAGCCGTCCTCCTGTGGACTCACCACCTGCAGAGGGTCAGTGAGGGGCTGGTGCTATGAGACTTGGGTGGCATCTCTGACTGTCACCCCCCTGACCCAGAAATGGATTAAAGGGTAGAAGATGGATGGATGGATGGATTGCATTTAGATCAAGGTCACTCAAAGTGCTTTACAACGTTTTTAGAGTACAGGTATTTTTCCATTCTCTCCATACACAGTCATGACACGAGCGAGACGCCAAATACACTGGCACATCAAAGTCTCACTCTCATAATATTCATTCCTATTGTCCTATTGTTTTTAGCAGTAGGGGAAACTTATGCAGACATGGGGAGAACATGCAAACACCACACAGAAACGCCTGGTGGTGGAATCGAACCCTGGACCTTCTAGTTGTGAAAGACAATTCTAACCACTGCGTATGTAATTGTGGCAAACCGAGTGGAATATAGAATTATGCAGAATCATGGCAGACAGCAAACAGCAGCAGGTGGAGGAGGTTCAAGGTTCAACTTTAGTGTCACCTCAGCGAAACTTATCATGTATATGCCATAGTATTGCACAGTCCCATCGGTGCCAGGATACAAAGAACACACTAGTAAAAGACCATGGATAAAAACTGTATTACACAATAAACAAAGTACAAACATTTTCTTTATTTTATTTATTCATTGAGTTGGGACAATGCACAGTCATCAACATTGATGCCTGAAAAGTAACTTAGCATAACTGCTAAATTTCAGCTGCAGTCCCAAGGAAGGTTCCAAGAAAACAGACACAAAAGAAATTGAAACCTCACACAACAGATCACACATGAATAAAATACAAAACAGACACAGACGGACAATATGAAGGTAAAGCAGACAGACAGACAGACAAGATAGCTGTGTCTGTCTGTTCTGTTTAGCTGTGCATACAACTGAGGGATTTTATATTTTTATCTTTCTATTTAATGTACTGTGATTATGATTTTAATGCTTTCTTGTTTTGTTCAGCACTTTGAGTTGCCTTGTGTAAGAATTGTGCTTTACAAATAAACTTGCCTTGCCTTACCCTAAGTGCTAGTGCAGTAGATTGCACTTGCCCCAACAAAGTGCTTGTGCTGTAGGAAACACAACATGCATTGCACACGCCCAGTTATCACAAAGGAGATACATGAGAGCTAAGGAGCAGTACATCTTGCTGTAGGTGAGCAAGTCAGAGGTCGAGCAAAGACTTCTGGGACGTTTTTTTGTTATAGCCTTTGTAGAGTAACCAGCAGGTGACAACGCAGCAACAGCCCATCATCCCATCATGCCATACACTGCATGTTTAGCTCCAGATACTGCATGATGCTCTGTTTTCCCTTGGCACGTTTCATAGATTGTATGTGTACACGCTGCAGTGCTGTGTCAACCACGCTACAACATAAAAGGTTGACTACGTACATTAAAATTCAGTGTGTCAGGTATAAAACGTTTAGCAAACAGCGCTAATTCAACCCTAACACCCTCACAAACATGCAAATATATGATTAGAATGTTACCTCCACTGATTTCCTTTCCAACTGGCATAGGTGCTTAAAGATGACAGGCGTCCCAGGCCTTTTCATCCCCCTCTATGCATTATACATGGGAGCTCTTCAGTAGTCGCCAGTCAAAGGCAGAGCTATTTCCATGAGGAATACTGGTGGTTGTAGGTAAACACACAGCCATAGATTGAATAGAATCCATAGGTTAACCAGCGGCATGTTTCGGTCGTCCTCTGTCAGAATATGCAGAGGGATTATGCCCCTCTGCACCTGCCCATCGTCAAGCCTGAGGATCTAACAACTGGATTTTACACTCGTCTGCATTCTCGCTTTCATCTACCTCTTCATGGTGTGTTTCACTGAGCAGATCCATTCTTGGGCTGGTTTTCAGATCCTGCCAGGTTTTTTTTTGCTTCTTTTTTTTCTTGCTTCTCTCCATTTAAACAAATCCCAATTGTTTGTCAGAGAATTTGAATTTGGATCCAAGAAACTATTGAGAATACTTATAGGAGGTAACACACATTAACTATCTTAATACACTTCCAGACCTGACCAGAAATGGCACATGGTTAATATGTAGGAGTGGACAACACAACCTAGAGGCCACAGCCAAAATAAGTGAGTTTGGCAAGAAGGGCCAGAAACCCAGTTGTCAGGAAG